TACGTGCCCTTGACCAAGAATGGAACTTGAGACTTTTTGGTGCTCCAGGGGATGCTCTCACCACTGACTGGGACCCAACATCCAGGGCTAATCTTGACTCTTTATCCCTAAATATTTATTGTGTATTTCCTAAGAAAAAGGATATTCTCTCTTATATAATTATCAATCTCAGTAAATTAAACTTTGTTATAGTATTTTATTATCTCAATTCCGGTTTCAGCAACGGACCCAAAAATGGCTTTGTAGATTTTCTTTCCCTCCAGTGATGATCTGGTTTTGGATCACATACTGCATTCAGTTGTAATATCTGTTCAATCTTTTTCACTTTGGAACAATTCCTCAGCCTTTCTTTGTCTTTTTATGACCTTGGCATTTTAAAAGAATATAGTCTTTGTGTGTTTTTTTTTTCCTCCCACAAATAAAATGTTTCTCATTTTGACTTTGTCTAATGTTTTCTTATAATAACATTCAGGTTGCACATTCCTGAATGTTGATGAACTTCTGGTTACCCCTTCCTGTATTTGATCGGTTTCAATACTCAATGAACACGATATAAGTAATGTTCTGTCCTTTTCAGAACATCAGTCGCAGCCAGAGGTTTTCAACATTTTTGTGCTTGCAGTTTTTTTTTGTGATTTTTTTGATTTTGTGATTGCAGTTTTGATCATATTGTCAATTTCTCCATTGTATAGTCTCCCTCTTGATACTAATAAGAAGTCTATAAAAACATTTTAATACTATATAAATATTTTATATATCATTAAAATTTTACCCCAGTATTTAGCATTCATTAGTAATTTTATCTTCTCTATGGTAGTTGCAAAATGATGATTTTTCTAACTTCAGCACTACTTTCACATTTGCTGGTTGCCACTTGCCATGATTCTGAAAACAAAAGCCCTCTTGTTTTTCTTTCTTTGTCTACAATCAATGTAGACTCACCTATTTATAACTTATTGTCATCCTTATATTGGTTTTATATTTTTTTAGATTTGGCTAGTGGGAGCTTCTTTATTTTATATAAATGTATTTTATATGTGTGTGTATCCTATCTAATAGAAGAGTAATATGCAAATTGACCATACCTCCACTATGCCCACAAGCCAAACTCACTAGCTAATCAGGAGTGAATATGCAAATAAACACAACCAAGATGGCTGTGGCCACGGAGAGCAGGAGGGAGGCTTGGGTTTTCCCGGCGATGAAGGAAACCAAGCTTTCTGCCTGCCTTTGCCAGCCTAAGCCTCTACTCAATGCTACAATGTTTCAATGATAGATGATAAATAAATCCCAACAAAAATAGTGGCAGCCTCGGAGCTGGATAGAGCAGGAGGCTAGGATTGCCCCTGGTGATGGAGGAAGCCAAGCTTCTGCAGCCCTGGTCAGCATAGGTCTCCACTCCAGGCTACAAAGTTTCAATTATAGAAGATAAATAAATCCCAACAGAAATGGCTGCCCCCACAGAGCGAGTAGAAGGCTTGGCTCTGCTCCAGGCTACAAAGTTTCAATTGTAGAAGATAAATAAATTCCAGATACCAGAGCCTCGCTTGGGTCGCGGGGGGCGGTGGTGGAGGGGCATGGCCGGCCTGCAAACCACCACAGACCCCTTGCCCAGGCCGCCCCATGCCCCAAGGGAACCCCCATCCTGAATCCAGGACACCCTTAAGGGCAAACCAGCCTGCCCCCACCCATGCACCAGGCCTCTATCCTATCTAATAAGAGATAATATGCAGATTGACCATCACTCCAACACACAAGATTGCTGCCCCCATGTGGTCAAAGATCCTGTTCCTGTGTGGACACAAGATGGCCACCAGGGGAGGGCCATTAGGAGGGACTAGGCCTGCAAGGGAGGGCAGTTGGGGGCGATCAGGGGAGAGCAGTTTGGAGGGACCAAGCCTGCAAGGGAGGGTAGTTGGGGGTGATCAAGCCTGCAGGGGCGGGCAGTTTGAGGGGACCAAGCCTGCAGGGCAGGACAGTTCAGGGGGACCAGCCCTGCAGGGGAGGGCAGTTAGGGGCGACCAGGCTGGCAGGGGAGTGGTTAGGGGCTATCAGGAAGGCAGGCAGGTGAGCAATTGGGAGCCAACAGTCTTGGATTGTGAAAAGGATGTCCGATAGTTGGATATCCCTCGAGGGGTATGAGATTGGAGAGGGTGCAGGCTGGACTGAGGGACACTCCAAACTCCCTCCCCTTGCCCTGTGCACGAATTTCGTGCACCTGGCCTCGTGTGTGTGTGTGTGTGTATTTATATTTATATGTATATATAATTAGACTGGACGTCCTTCCAGGTGACCTTCTGGATGAAGCCAGGGCTGTGAGGGAAGCCCAGCTCCTCGGTGCCAGAGGGAAGTTGGTACCAGCCAGGGAAAGGAGGCCTACTCTTGCATGATATTTGTGCATTGGGCCTTTAGTGTGTGTGTGTGTGTGTGTGTGTGTGTGTGTGTGTGTGTGTCTTTCTTATTTTTTTGCAACCAAAATATGTTGCCTTTGCTTCTAGGTGTTTTCAACCTATGGAACTCAGAAATATTCATACATAAACATATGCATACATGTGTATGCACACATTTAAGTCCACTTGAAATCAAGAGAACATACTAACACTTCTACTTTGAATCCAACCTCATAGGATTCTTCATTAACTTTCTCTCTTCCTTATTTGTATTTCTCTTTTTTCACAGGGAGAATCTTTCTTCCCAGGAGCATCAGGACATTTACTAATTATTTAAGCCTATAATACATTTAAAATACTTTCACAATTGTTCCATCTGTACTACTACACAACTGCAAAACATACCTTCTTTGCAAAACAAAGAATTCCAGATTTAAATTTTTTTTTTTTTTTACTACTCTCTATCCAGTCTTCCCTCTTCCCTCCTCCCTGGCCTTTCAGTACAAGAAATTAATAACTTAAATGTAACTTTTAAAATATGTATTTTTATAATATACCTATAACTATCATAAAAGTATTATATACAATAATAGTTTTGTCAGCTTTTAAGAGTGTTTCTAGTTGCTTGTTGAAGCATTTTTATGATGTGCTTTAAAATTCTTGTCAGCTGGGACCGGTTTGGCTCAGTGGATAGAGCGTCGGCTTGGGGACTGAAGGGTCCCGGGTTCGATTCCTGTCAAGGGCATGTACCTTGGTTGCGGGCATATCCCCGGTGGGGGGTATGCAAGAGGCAGCTGATCGATGACTCTCTCATCAATGTTTCTAACTCTGTATCTCTCTCCCTTCCTCTCTGTACAAAATCAATAAAATATAAAATAAAATAAAATAAAATAAAATACTTGTCAGATAATTCCAACTTCTGAGTCATCTTTAGTGTTGTCATCTGTTGATTGTCTTTTCTCATTCATGCTTTTTAGTATATTGTATCCTGGACATTTTGAATATGATGTCATGAGATTCTAGAACCTATTTAAATATTCTGTTTTAGCAGGCAGCCACCCTGTTTTTTGGTTAGCGTGCAGATCCTGGCCTACTTTTGTGAGCTGTGGTTCTTATGACAATTTAGTTTTCTGAGCTCATGTAGTATTATTCTGGTCCATATCCTGTAATTGCTATCTGGAGGACACTCTGAAACCTGGAATTCCACACTGTGATTCAGTTCTCAAACCTTTTGCCATATTCTATACTTTTAGTTAGGGGTGTGTCCAGGACTTCCTGTGCAGGTTTAAAGAATGCTTTTCTCCAGGTTTTTCTTGGGTCTTTTCCACCCTTGTGCCTGTTGGTGGTTCTGGGTTGCATGCTTAACCAAAGAATAGTCTCAGATATGTAGAAGATAAAAGAAAAATAGGAGACCCCATAGTGGTGCTGTTCCTCAAATTATTAGATCCTTAGTTCATTTTCCTCCTTCCACTATTCAGAGTTCTCTTATTATTGTGTTATATTTAGGGTGTTTGGTTATGCATAAGGGGGGAGAATATGAAAACTGAGAAGGCAGTGAGTGAGTCTAGTCTATCTTGTTTAAATCCAGAAATTCTTGTTTATATATTTTAAATTTCTGTTTCAGGTGCAAACACATTGGAGATTATGTCTAGTGAATTGACCCCCTCATATAATTTTCCTCTTTATTCCTGTTAACATTCATTGTTCTGAAGTTTCTTGTGCCTCATGTTAATTTAGCTATTTCACGTTTTTTAAAATTTGTATTTATATGATATATCTCTTTCCATACTTTATTTTGACCTATCTATGCCTTTTATTTAAAACTCTGTGCACAAAAATTCATGCACTTGCGTGGGAGGGGTGAGTAGTCCCTCAGCCTGGCCTGGCCTGTACCCTCTCGCAGTCCGGGAGCTCTTGGGGGATGTCCAACTGACAGCTTAGACCGGCTCCCCACGGGCCTTCCTCTGCAGGAGGTGACTGGTGGGCTGATCAGGGAACAGTGTGGTTGGCTGGTGAATGGCTGGCTGTTGAGTGGCTGGCACCACCCCCAATCGCACCTTTGCCACCACTGGTTGCTGCTGACCCCTGATTGTCATTCTCTCCCTCTGCCTGTAGGCACCTCTGCCTTGGTTGGCATGGCGCCTTCTACTCTCTGGCCCTGCTCCCCTGCTGACTGGTTGTTCTGCTGTTTGGTCGATTTGCATATTAGGCTTTTATCGATATTATATAGGATGGGTTCTCTGTTGAAAGCATATAGTGTGGCCTTTCTCTTCTTATCTGATCTTCATTCTCTGTCTCTTATTGGTACTTTTCGGACATTTACACTTAATGTAATTATATACAGTTGATTTTAACCTTAACATATTGCCAAATGTTTGTTTACATACTTTTTGTTTCTTTCACCCTGTTTTGTTGTCTTTTGGATTGAGTATTTTTATCATATCTTATTTTTACTATTGGCTTATTGTTATTATTTTGTTGTTGTTAATGCTCACCTGAGGGTATTTTTTTCATTGATATTTAGAGAGAATGAAAATGAGAGAGAGAAAGAGAGAGGGAGGGACGGAGAGACATAATTAACATTGGCTATATGTGTTTATATTTTAACAGCTGCTGAAATAGTTCAAGAACTTGAAAATATGGAGAAGACTAGGATGCGTCTTGAAGCTAGTAAACTCAATGAAAGAGTATGTTATGGTCTATTTCACTATCGGGGTAGAAATAAAGGAAAGTTGAATACTCTCCTGACATTAAAGCAAGCCAGAATGTACTAGAACACATTTCCACTTAATATATTATGATTTACCTGCAGCTCATTTTTAACACAAAACTCTATCATATTTAGCAGTCTTCTGGCACAGAATGCAATGTAGAGTTTATTAATGGGTTATAGTCCTTAGAGAAAGCATATGTCTACATACCCGATAGCCTTTATATTGGCCCTTTCTCTGCTCATTGTATTTGATAAGCTATTAACCTCTGGTGCCCTTACCATCTTCATCTGTAAAATTTTGGGATTGAACTCTATGACCTCTAAGATCCCCTTTTAGCTCTGGCATTCTTCAATTCCATGATTGTCCCGATTGAGAAATTAAGTAATTGTAGGAGTTTATAGAATATCTGTTGAGCTTATTGAGGGAATAAGAAACCTAAAATGTTTCACTATTGCTTTCCTCTAGCATGATGACCCCAAACTTGAGGAAAGGATGTCAAGGCAGTGTTTTGAGCTCTCCCAAGTGGACTTTTCCCCCTAGACCATCCATCATGTGTTTGTAGCGGGGAGTGAGCTTATAAGCAGTAGTAGGAAAAAATAAGATTTGCATTAACTTTATTACTGAGTATAAACTGTAAGAGGGAGATGGTAGTAAGTGATGTAAGTACACTTTTGGTTTTTTAAGTCTCAGATGTGAAAAAGTGGAACTATAAATGTAATATTTCTTGTATTTTTCCTATATATTACATTTCTTATAGACTTGGGGAAGTTAGGCTGGGAAAGATAGAAGGCAGACAAGAAAATCTGCCTTATTAATGATCTGCTAAATGTCTCCAGTTTTGTAGTTTCAAGTATTTTGTTGTTTGTTGTATTAATGAATGTGAAAAAATTACCTATTGAAAAAAGGAAAATTAATTGTTGTATTAATACTTTATGTATTCTAATGGAATTCATGTTGCATTTTCTACATGAATGAGAAATAAGTAATGAGTAAAATATAAATTAATTATATTCAAAGGAAATACTCAGGAGTTACTTTTCCTAGGTCCATGTGAAACAGAAACGAGTGATTCTTTTATTCTATTTAAACATCCACATTTAAGATTTTAAAGTTTATAGTACTGATTTCTATTTTTGTCATTTAATGAATTTTTAATGAGGAATTTTTTATTATTTTAGGTAATGGTTTTTACAAAGGACCACACAGAAAAGGAAATAGACGAAATCCATAGTAAATACCGTAAGTTGTATGAAGTTTTCTCTATTTGCAAAGAATTTGGGTTGCAGTTTTTATCTTAAAGTTTTAAAATAAATTTTTTATATTAATGTTTGGTACACACTTATGTTAATATTACTTAAGAGACTGAATTTTAGTTGTGCTTACTCAGACAGGGACTTTTTTATAAGTCAGTGTGCCTGCTTTTTTCATTTGTAACTAGCATTCTACTTCGAGCCTATCACTAAGCACTGTGCAAATATTAATTAGTTGCTCTCAAAGCATCTTGTGAGAAGAAAATAGGATCAAAATGGAAACATTTCTGACTTTCCTGTCCTCAAGCCACTCAATGACAATACTGTAAAGAATTTCAGCACTAATAGCTTGCAAATTTGTGCCAAAAAAGAGTTTTCATTTTATTAGGCATTAACAACTTCCTAACTTTATCACTTCCTTTTTCTTAAATGGCCTTTGTGTATATCTTTCCTATGGCTAACACATTACTGTTTTATCTGTTAGGAAGCTGTTATCCTTTGTTCAATTGGTTTGTTTTTAGCTTAACTTTAAGTGGTTGGCAAACAGTAGATAGTTAATAAATAGTGGTTGAATGAGTATACTACACATACAATGTTTTGGTTGTGCTAAGAGAATGTTGTCTTCTTTTTTCAGTTCTTAAGTTTTGAAGGGATAGATTCAGTAGTGATCTACTTGGGGAGGGAGGGTGCAGTAGTACACAGACACTAGATGTAGGTGTGATGACCTGTGCTGAACAACAAGAGTCATTTCTCTGTTGCTAGAAAGATAAAAATATATTTTATTGATTTTTTATAGAGAGGAAGGGAGAGGGATAGAGAGCTAGGAGAAACATCGATGAGAGAGAAACATCAACCAGCTGCCTCTTGCACACCACCCACCGGAGATGTGCCTGCAATCAATGTACATGCCCTTGACCGGAATCGAACCTGGGACCCTTCAGTCCGCAGACCGACGTTCTATCCACTGAGCCAAACCGGATTTGGCGATTTTGTTTAAAAATTTTTATCAACTTTTGGAAAGCCACAGTGATTTTCCTTGAGACAAGAGGTAGAGACAACCAAGTGCTCACTGATTTGGCAAAATTAAGGCCTGTAACAATAAGGAAAACAGAAAATTTCCATGAAGAGAAAGTAATTTAAATCACTAAAAGAGTGGTATCTAACAAATATGCCTCACTAAGAAAGAAGTGGATTTGATGCAGGCAAGACAATATACAAATATCTATTGCCCACTATTAAATATCTAAAAGTAGATATTTAAATATCTAAAAATATCTAAAAAAAAAAAAACTTTACTAAATAGATCATGTTAAACTAATTGGTTTAGCTCTCAGTATATACTTTAAAAAACAAACAAACAACTGTCAGGTTCTTCTAAAGCCTAAGTTCTTATTACTATGTAATCATACATTTTGATTTAGTGTTTGGCTCTAAATATACTATTGATTTCTTTCAAACATTTTAATTAATGTTTTACATGCATGTAGTTTTTTATTGTTTTTTAAAATTTTATTTTAAAGAGGGAGGATGGGGAGGGGGAGAGAAGAAGAAGAAGAAGGAGAGAGGAGCTGGAGGGGCAGAAGGGGGGGACCCTAGGAATCTGCAGAAGGTTCACCTGTGTATTCAGTCAGCATACAAAGTATTTTTCTGACTGTTACTGAAGAAGGACCAGGACCTGGTGAGTCTGCCCTGGCATGATCTTGAAATAGGATTCTTCTGAGGTGTTTCAGGAAAAGAATTTAAGACTAGCACATAGGAATTTAAGCGGCAAGATTTATTAGAGTGAGCGAGGTCAAACACCCTTGGAGAGGCCTAGAGCAGGTTGGCTATAGTAGCGGCCTTGTGAACAGAGGCAAAAGGAGCGTCCTCTGCCACTGCTTGCTGCTCCCCTGGTGGTAAGTCTGGTGGGGATCCTCAGAGTTTAGGAGAAAAGAAGGCAAAAAGTACGTGCCCAAAAGAACAGCATGAGTGTGCTCCAAGGAGGCACGCACGCTGGATTTTTGTCTAGCTTCTATATATTTCCTTGAGCTCAGAAAAGAGCAGCCTTTCTTTTTAACTATTCGTCTTCAGTCCCTTTCCTGATTTTTTCCTAGGCAGTGCCCATGCTCTCCCCATTCAATCTCTTTCCTGGATCTCCTGGGTTTTTGTGTCCTTATCCTATTAGATGCCTCCCCTCCCACAGGCTAGTCCCCTCCCCCTTTATGGTTGCCATTTTGGCTTCTAATGCTCATGCACTCATTCTTTCTCCTTCCCTGCTCAACCAGCTGGAATGGCGCAGGTTGCTCCTGGGGTGACTGAAAAGTTTCTGCCTGGAGTGACTGAATCTGTCCTTTTCTAGTTAATCTGGCTTGATCAGGTGTCTGGTTCTGTTTGCTCCCTTCCTTTTTGTTAATGTCTAACAAGCTGCCTACTGTATCATGACCACAATAGAATTAAGTTGGAAATCAGTAACAAAGCCTCCTGGAAATCTGCCAAATATTTGGAAACTAAGCAACACACTTCCAAATAACTCATGGATCAAAGGAAAATTAAAACCAAGAAATTTCAAAATTATTTATTAACTTGTTTAAAAATAACAAATCCATTTACACATTAACATAACCTGATAGAAAATAATGTTCCCAAAACAAAAAAAAAAAACAAACAAAAAAAATCAAAATAAATGGAATTTTCTACTAGCCCAGATAGCATAAACAGAGACTATATTTACTTTCCTTCATTCATAAACTAGAAAACCAGATTAAATGTATGAAACAGTGGGTTTTTTTTTTTAGATGCTGGGGGAAAGTAGTACAGGATTGTGATTCCTGAAGGAAGGAAAACAAATCGGAGAGCTCTCCAGTACCAGAGCTTACTGCCTAGCGGCAGTTTTAGGCTTTGGGTAAGGAGAACCCCAAAATAATCTGGTGGATCACTGAGTAGGTAAACCGGCAATGAAAGTTGTGGGAGGCCAAGGTGGCTAGAATTTGTGGGACAGCTTACCAGAGAAGAGAGAACCTCAGAGAGATGAGAGCTCTATTTGATACATAGAAGATCTTGTTAAGCTTTTGGCTGCCTAGCAATTTGTGCCTGAGGCTAGGAAAGGACTAACTGAAGGGATTAACTACAGAACAGTTTCTGGAGTTCACACAGGGTCTGGAACAATTTGAATTCATCACAAGCCCTAGTACAGAAAAAGCACAACAACGCACACACCTCACAATATTTGGGGATATCAGACAGAATCCTCAGAAAGGTATTATTCCTTTAGCAGCTGGGCTAATCTAATCTACCTTAGGGCCAGATAATAAATATTTTAGGCTTTGCAGGCTATATCTGGTCTTTGTCAAATGTTCTATTTGTTAACACATCTTTATAAAGTTATAAAAAGCATTCTCAGCTAGAGAGCCATACAAAAATATGCCATAGATTGGATTTGGCCTTTGGGCAGTTATTTGTTGTCCTCTTTACACTTATGGTTGTACTAATTTCCTCTTTTCACTAATGGTTGTACTACATTTTTTTTTTTTAAATAGACTTTACGTTTTAGAGTAAAAACTCAATATTGAGGGGGAAATGCAGCGAGTTCCTATATCTCCCCTGGTGCACAGATGCACCATCTCTCCTTCCCTAACATCCCTCAACAGATGGCAGGAGAGATGGTGCATCTGTGATACTGACACATCATTATCACAAAGTGCATAGTTTACAGTAAGGTTCACTCTTGGTGGTATATATTCTATGGGTTTTAACAAATATATAATGACATGTATCTGTCATTATCTTATCATACAGAATACTCACTGCTTTGTTTATTTATTGATCCCTCCTTCCTAGCCCTGACAACCACTTATCTTTTCAATGTCTTTATAGTTTTTTCTTTTCCAGAATGTCATATAATTGAAATTATACAGTATATGATCTTTTCAAATTGTCTTCTTTCTCAGTAATATGCATTTCAGGTTTCTCTGTCTTTTTCTGACTTGATAGCTCATTTCTTCTTAGCCTTAAACAATATTCCATTTTCTGAATGTACTATAGTTTATCAATTTACCTAATACTTAATAATCAACTTACCTATTGCTTCTTTTGGCAGTTATTTAAAAAATTCCTTACGTTCTTGTGCAGGTTTTTGTGTGAACATAAGTTTCAATATATTTGGATAAATACAAATATTTATCCTAAGGCATGTGAGTGCTAGATCATAAGGTATCTTTAGTTTTGTAAGAACTTGTATTTTAAATCTCTATACCATTTTGCATCCCCACTAGCAAAGAATAAGAGTTATTGTTGCTTCTCATCCTTACCTGCATTTGGGTTTTTGCCATTCTAATACAATTATCTACTGATATATGATGTTGAGCATTTTTTCATATGGTTATTTGCATCCATATATCTTTTTCCAGGAAGTGTCTGTTCAGATCTTGGGTCCATTTTTAAAAAATATATATTATTGATTTTTACAGAGAGGAAGGGAGAAGGATAGAGAATTAGAAACATCGATGAGAGAGAAACATCGACCATCTGCCTTCTGCACATTCCCTACTGGGGATGTGCTGCAACCAAGGTATGTGCCCTTGACCAGAATCGAACTTGGGACCCTTTTGTCCACAGGCCAATACTCTATCCACTGAGCAAAACTGGCCAGGACTGGCCCATTTTTTAAATTAGTTCATTCATTTTCTTGAGTTTTGGAAGTTCTTTGTGTATTTTGGATAACAGTCCTTTATCAGATATATCTTTTGCAAATATTTTTTCCTGGTCTGTGGCTTCTCTTCTTATTATCTTCATAATCTGCCCTATTAAATATTGAAAGCAAGCCTTGAAATTACTCAGTTATTTTCAAGTAGCTTGATATTCTTCAGAACAAAATGTAATACAATTTAAGGATAGAACAAAATTAGCAACCAAGAGAATAAAATTAATAGTATTATCCTATTGAAATTACCAGGAATTCAAGGAAGCAGAAAAATAAGATTCATGGAAAGGAGAAATTTTAATTAATAAAAC